TCCTGGAGTCCCAGGATCGAGTCCCACATCGGGCTCCCTGCTCAGCAGGGAGTCTGCTTCTCCCTCTGACCCTCCCCCCTCTCATGCTCTCTGTCTCATTCTTTCTCTCTCAAATAAATAAATAAAATCCTTAAAAAAAAAAAAAAAATAGCACTTGCCAGGGGCTAAAGAGGGTGAGAGGGAGGGCTACAGGCCTAATACAAAGAAATAGCCTGGGGTGCCTGGATGGCTCAGGCCATAGAGCATGCAACTCTTGATCTCAAGGTGGTGAGTTCAAACCCCACAATGGACCCTACTTAAAATAAATTTAAAAAAACAAAGAGCCCAAGGGAAATTTTTGTGGAGATGGAACAGTTCTGTATCTTCATTGTAATGATACAGAATTATACACATACCTTGTATGATGTGAATTTCCCCGTTTTGATACTGTGATATATAAGATGTACCCACTGGGAAAAACTGGGTGAAGGCTACATGATACCTCTCTGTACTATTTCTGCAAATTGTTATACATCTATAATTACTTGAGAGAAAAGTTTTTTGAAAATAGATGTTTCTCACAGCTAACATCATACTTAATGGTGAAAGACTGAAAGCTTTTCCCCTAAAGCTAAGGAACAAGAAAATATGTCTGCTTTTGCTACTTCTATTAAACACTGTACTGGAGATTCTAGGACAATTAGGACAGGACGATTGGGAAAAAATAATATTAAAAAACATCCAGATTGAAAAGAAAGAAATAAAACTATCTTTATTGCCAAAACATGATCTTATATATAGAAAATGCTTAAGAATTCACACAAAAAACTAATAAGCAACCTCAGCAAAGTTGCAAGATATAAGATCAATATACAAAAATCAGTTATATGTCTATACACTAACAATGAACAATCAGAAAATGATTTTAAGAAAACAACACCATGCAGAATAGCAGAGCTCTGTCAGTTGAGTGTCTGACTCTTGATTTTGGCTCAGGTTATGATCTCAGTTATGAAAGATCGACCCCTGCGTCCAGTTCTGTGCTCAGCATGGACTCTGCTTAAGATTCTCTCTCTCCCTCTGACACTCCCCCTCCTCCACTCACGTGGGTGCGCTTTCTCTCCCTCTCAAAAAAAATTAAACTTAAATTAACAACTTTTGGGGTGCCTGAGTGGCTCAGTTGGTAAAGCGTCCACCTTCAGCTCCGGTCATGATCCTGGGGTACTGGGATCGAGCCCCACATTGGGCTCCCTGCTCAGTGAGGAGTCTACTTCTCCCTCTTCCTCTGCCTCTCCCTCCGCTTGTGCTCTCTCTCTTGCTCTCTCATGCACTCTCTCAAATAAATAAATAAAATCTTAAAATAAAATCAGTAACAACTTTTGTTACATCAAAGGACATTATCA